GGTGAATTGCTATCTGCAGCCCCAGGCACAGCAGCATCTCCAAAACCTCTCTCTCCAACACCTCCAAACCCTTCCAACACCCCCAAAGTGCCTCTGACACCTCCAAAACCCCTCAGCACCTTCAAAACCTCTCCAACATCTCCAAAACCTATCCAATGTCCTCAAACCCTCTCCAGGACCTCCAGACTCCCTCCAACATGTCTAAACCCTCTCTGACACCTCTGAAACCTCTCCACCACCTCAGAAACCCCTCCACTTCCCAAACCCCTCCCAAACCTCTCCAACATTTCCAATACCTCCAAACTCCCTCCAGCCCCTCCACAACCTCTCCATCCCTCCGAAACACCAGGCTGAGGTGAGCTATGTGCCGTTGACAGCGGCTGGAACTGCCTCGAGGTGCTGCCTCAGCGAGGATGCTGCAGCATCACAGGCAGAGGGCAGGTTCCCATGGTGAGCATTCAAAGGATAATCTCCTTATCCCCGTATTCCGACAGTGCTGTCCACATGTGCTCCCAGGTGCACGTTGCCCACCGAGAAGAGACGGCTGCAGAACACGTTCCTGCTGAGCTGTGCACCCCATGCCTCTGAAGCCACAGAGACCTGCTCCTTCCACCCCTGTGGAGTCTGGGATGGTTTGTGCTTTCTGGCTCTCCAAGAGAGGAGCAGCTCCAGCTCCTGGGCTGGGGCAGGAGGGATCTGGTGTGCAGGAACCAAAAGAAAGAAGGGAAACCTGCCAAAATGCTGGAATTTCACAGGGAGCTTCTCTCCATTCATACTTCCCTCCAAAACCCAAGCTGTGGAACACTTTTAGCACAGGATTTGGGGCTGACAGCAAGCTGTTGTCCCTGCTTTAGAATCACAGAATCCCAGACTGGTTTGAGTTGGAAGGGACCCTGAAGCTCATCCAGTCCCAACCCCCTGCCACGGGCAGGGACACCTTCCACTAGACCAGGTTGCTCCAAGACCCATCCAACCTGGCCTTGAACACTGCCAGGGATGGGGCAGCCACAGCTTCTCTGGGCACCCTGTGACAGTGCCTCAGCACCCTCACTTGGAGTCTTTATAGCTCTCACTCTCCTTCTCATGCAGATAGGGACAACTGTCTTGGGTTCACATGCTGCCTGGCACAAGAGGGACCTGAACTTCATCAGGCTTGAAAGATTTCATTGAGCATCCAAGTATTCATCACTTCTCCCACCCTTGTAAAGGAACAGCCTTCCGCTAAAGTCTAACTGCCACCTGCCTCTGGAATGAGGGACCTAAGTGCAATTTTACTGCCTTTAAAGTGCCAGAGACCTGTATCCCCCTGGTGGGACCATCCACTCCAGCCAGGGTGGCTGTGGTGGGTAAGGGTCTTCTGTGGCCACCCCAGCTCCTGGCCAGGTCCTTCTGAGCACTCCTGCTCTGTTCTGCTGGAAATTCATCCAGCTCTTTTTGGGTTCTCAGCTGCTTTGTTTGCAGCACACTGATTATCTCTGGGAATGGCTTCCCAGTCCCCACTGAAGGACAGCTGCTTGTATGCCAGGACAAAACAAGCCCATGGGCCCAGGCTGCTGAGACACAACAGGAGGTCCCCAAATAAACAGACATGGAGGGGAGCACAGGCAAGACTGTGTTTTGGGCAGGCCTTGCAGGTCTGGTGTTTCATGTGCATTGGAAAGAGAGGCCTGGAAATTCATCCCAGTGTCCAAATCATCCTTCCAACAGCTTCAGACCCAGAGGAGCAGGGTGGGAGAAGAGAAACGGGCAGCCGAGGCAGCTCACTCTCTCTGATTAGGGATTCCACTTCGGTTGCACACAAGGGAGAAAAGACATTTTGGATCTGGACTTTTTTAAGCTTACACAAAGTTCAGAGTCTGTCTCTACTTAGACCTCGAAAACCACCCAATGCAGTGGGCAATGCAACAAGACGTCCTGACCATCCCTTCAGCACCTCTCCTTGTTCTCAGCCTCCCACGATTTTGAGAAGGCATTGGCAGAGGTGCAGGTGGGAGCAGAGGAGAATGGTAGAGCTTGAGCTTCCATGGGCTCCCACCCCATCACCACCATGAGCATCCTCCGGGAGCCACATCAGTCCATGTCCAGCCTCTTGCTTGGGGGGACACTGCTAGGCAGCTCATGGGTTGTTATTGAGCCGGGGGGAGCAGGGCATCACCTAAGTGCAGACACAGAGCAGGAAGGTCTACCCTGCTTCCAGGAAGCGCAGGGTGGAGGGAGCTGTGAGGCCATTAGGAGCTCCGTGGGGCTGGGCACACTCGCCTCTCCCTTCCATGCAGGAGCAGCCCCTTTTCCCCGGGTTTCTGCTCCTCTCCACTCAGCCCATTAGCCAAGGCATTACATTTTAACTTTTTCTGTTGCTCCTCACAGCATGTTGCTGGTGAGTGGGTGCCTGGGGGCATGCCAGGGCTTGCTGACTCCCCCTGGCACTGTACCCTTATGGAGTCTGGCTGTGCTGTGGGTACCTGCCTGCATCCCAGGGGCAGGAAAGGGGCTCCCCTCTACTGGATTCCTGCAGGATACTGATGCTCCCAAGGACCAGTGTGGCAGCAGCATCACTGCAACATTCTGCACAGCCCCATTGTCCTGGAGATATGTCCCTGCAAGTCCCCATGTTGTTAGGGGGTAACAAAATGCCACCAACCCCTGTGCCCACAGTGTGGCCATCCTATAGACGATGCTGCCTGTAGCTCTGCCTGCTCCCACTTCACCTCTGAGTGATGGGCAACAGCCCTGCAATTGCATGTGCCCCAACCTTGACCACCACCAGCTTCATGGCATGCCCCAGCCCTCACAAGACACCTAGTGTAGGTAGGTAACTAGCCAAGGGCAAGCTCTGCTTGCAGACACAGCCCAAAGCTGCTGCTCTTGAGGGTTTTTTTGCTGCCCCGCAGCCCCCTTGGTGCAAGTCCCCCCAAGGAGCTTGCAATAGGGGCCTGCTCTCCCCACCCCGCAGCACAAACTGTCTCCCAGCCCCTCTGCCATGGGTCTCCAGTAAGCACCCTGCTGGTGAGCTCGTGCTAACATGGCAGGTTCAAGGAGAGCATAAGTCCTTGAAGCACCTTGGAGGGATGGACTCAGCTTGATGGCAGGAGAAATGTTCCGGCTTGAAATAGCTGATGGAAGTGGATGGCTGGAGGACGTGCCCTGCTCTGAATCATGAAGCTCCTGCAGCTCCTGGCCTTGGGTGACATGTGCTCACACAGCACGGCTGTGCACACATACGAGCACTGAGCTCAGCCCTGCACACATGTACACCGCCTCCAGCCAGCCCCCCGCCTACGCACACCTGTAGCCATACTCCCACCCCACACATCCCTGGGGACGTGTTCACCCGATCTCAGCACTGGAGGCAGGTCTGACAGAGGCAGCTCTGAGGCTTGGCCATGAGGCTGGGGTCTCTGCTGAGCCCTGGCCCCCATCCCACGTCTGGACCAGTGTAAGGCAGCTGAGACCCCATCAGAGCATGGGCACCACATAGCCTTGTGTGTGGGACCATATAGCCCATGGTCCTTCTAGACATATGGAAGCCCATGTAGTGTTCTAGATGCATGGAAGAAGGTGATGAGTTTGGGATAAACCACCCCCTGGTTGGGTCCCGCTCTGTCCTGGGGCAGCACTGCAGTGAGGACAGGACCCACAAGGAGCATGGCCAGGAGCTTTCCATCCATGAGACGTCAAGAAGCCATCGATTTTTGCCATTAGAGGGGGTGTGCCCAGAGCAGATGAGCTGCAAGCAGAGCCACACACTGAATAATTCATGGCAAAGGATGACGAAGCTGATGGCCAGGCTGGGGAAGCCTCTCCATGTCCTCCCGCTTCTGCCTCCCAAGGACGTGGCCTTTGCTTCTGCCCCAGGGTGTTGGATGTGGGCTGGGATGAGTGACCTGCACTGCCCTGGTTCACAGGGACCTGGGGGGCACACACCGGTCCCTGAGCTGGTCCCAACAGAGCAGGGATGGTGAAACTCCAGAGATGCTCACAGAGTTTGCCCCCCAGATCAGCTGAGTGCTGTGGAAAGATCATGAAGAAGAAGAAAAACAAGGCCAGGTTGGATGGGGCTTGGAGCAACCTGCTCTAGTGGAAGGTGTCCCTGCCTGTGGCAGGGGGTGGGAACTGGATGAGCTTTAAGGTCCCTTCCAACACAAACCATTCCAGGATTCTATGATGATACTGCTGGCATGACTACCCTGGCACGCACTGTTGTTGCAAAGCCACCTTTTGGGGCAGGGACACCCATCATAGGGCAAAGATGCCACTTGTGGCATGGGAACACCCCTCACAAGGCACCATGATGTTCTGCTGTGCCCAGTGGAACTGGCAAGCTATGTCCTGCCATCTCCCACTGTGTCCAGCCACACAGTAGAGGGCAACCCCCAGGAATGGATCCCAGGCCACCTTCTCCACTGTCACCCAGGGGCACCAAGGCTAAGAGGGATACCTCAGGGCTGTGCCATGGGTAAGTAAGCCAGATGTGGCACTGCGGTGCATGGGGAGGGTGGGCTGAGCTTGCCAGGCCACAGCTGTGGCACTGGTGAGCCCCAAGGCAGCAGCCCAGAGCGAGGAGAGGGTGGCTGGAGCCCGGGCAGGGCCGGTGGTGGCAGCTGAGGAGTTAACTTCCCAGCTCCCCGCATGGATCTGGAGCTATTAATACTCACACGCTGGTTTTGCTGTCAGAGCAAGCGGCGGCTCTGCCGGTGAGACAGGCCCCGCGGAGCCGCTGCACAGACACGGCGCAACTTTTCCTCCCTCAGCGCGTGGGGCTCCTGGCCTGGCCGCCTGCCTGCAGACCCTGCCAGAGCCCGCCAGATCCTGCCAGAGCCTGCCACAGCCTGCCAGACCCCACCAGAGCCTGCTGGACCTGCCAGACCCTGCCAGACCCTGCCAAACCCTGCTGGACCCTGCCAGACCCTGCCGGACCCTGCCAGACCCTCCCAAACTCTGCTGGACCTGCCAGAGCCTCTGCATCCCACCTTCCACAGCCCCTGTGCATGGGACACTTCCCTGGCAGTGACACAGACACCATCGGGTGCCATATGGGCACTGGGCACTGGAGAGGGGCAGCCGCTTCCCATGGCCTCTGAAGCATCTCAGGGCTTGGCAGGGACCTCCCCCTGCCCTGCCGGACCCCTCAGCCCAGTGATGGCACCCCAGGTCGCTGCACACACCCTCTGAGCCCCCTCTCTCCGGGCATCCCAATGGGTGCCAGGGTGGCATTGGGCACTGCCAGCCCCACATCGAGGGTGACACAGGACACAGCACATCCCGGCGCTGCCTCAGTGCATGGTGAGCAGCTGGCCGCGACACTCAGCCCAGCCGTGTGAAGGGCTCCTGACACAATGGCTCCAGGCAGGCGAGTGTGAGCCTCCAGCTGCCGGCAGCACTGGTGAGGGCAGGAAGATGCCAACACTCCTGCGGCACTGCCTGGCCTGCGGTGTGCTGAGTGATGGATTCCTTCTGCTTCATCTGCTTCCAGAAAGAGGAGCTGCAGCCCCTGCACCTGCACAGGTCAGTGCCACCGTGTCCCGCTGGTGGGGACATGCTGCAAGCCCATGAGGGGCATGAGAGCACAGCACCGAGCTGAGCTGGGCACCGTGCCGGTAGGAGAGCTGCCGGCCTTGGCCGTGCCGAAGTTCCACCTGGAGCGAGCATATCATAGCTGGCCAGAGGAGAGCAGGGCCATGATGTGCCATGCCAGGGAGAGGCTGTGTGCACAGCAAGTGTGCATCCAGCAGGTGCTTCCCTGGCAGGAGCTCTCCAGAGTGCAGGGTGGGCATCCTGTGCCATGCCGAGTGGTGCTAGTGTGCCCACAGGAGTAGGCTGTTGGCAGCGACCCCATGGCATTCCGGAGCCATCCTGCCAATCCTGCTCACCCAAAGGGGTCCCTGCTGGACTCTGCTGTCACCTCTGGGGCAGGTGCTGGCTGGGGGTCACCAAGGAGGGTCACCAAGGAGGGTCACCAGGCTGCTCTTGGCAGTGGCACTGCCACTTGCCTCTCCCTCCCCAAAGCTCCTCTGCCATCCATGCTACTGAGCCCCAGCCAAGGCAAATATGCCAGTGCCAGAATGAGCCAGGCAGCCGGCAGGGATGTGAAGTGTGAACGCTGGCACACGTTGTGCCCAACTGCTCCTCAGTGGCACTGAGCCACTGCCGGCTCCTGTCCCTTGCTGCCGTCCCCAGAGCAAAGCTCCCCTCATGGCTGGGAGCCCCCCAAGTGCTGGATGCCCACAGGGAGGTCAGGGGTGGTGGTGCTGCCGGGATGCCGGCCAGGCTGGGCTGGGACAGTCTGAACTGTTTGTGCTTCCTCCTGGTGTGTGGTGAGCTGTAGGATTTGTTTTGGTGTGAATCATGGGGTTTGGAGCCTTGATTCCCATGTGTTGCTGCCAATGAGCTTAGCACTGTCTGGGACAGCACTAGGAGGTGGTGGTGGGAAACTGGGATGGGAGAGGGGCCTTGGGTGTGGGTGCTGCTGGATGGAGACGGGGACAGAGCATCCCCAGGGCTCACTTCTTACATCCGGACTCGAGGTTGGAGGCAATTGCCTGCATCCAGCCTGTGCTGGGCCACAGGCAGCACGAGTTTGGCATTCCCAGCTGGTGTGGGGCAATATGGTGGCCCCAGATCCTGTGTGGTGGCCGTGGGGACCACCTCCACCCCCCGGGATGGGACAGCATGGGATGGACACCCGTGGCTTGTCCCAAGAGACTTCTGGTGCTGCCTGATTCAACGTGGGCTGCATGGCTGAGGATCCCCTGGTTGTCTTCAGCCTGTTTGTGCCAGCCTTGTCCCAGGCCATTGCCCATTGTCTGCCACCAGCCCTTGGGGACAGGGCCACCATCGCCTGCCGCAGCCGGCACAGCAGCTACGGGGTGGGCTTGCCCCGGGCCGGGGGGTGCAGGCAGAGGGACCCTCCGGGTGCTCCCCACTCCGCCATCGCCCCAGCCCCGGCCCTGCGCTCTCACCCCGAGCCAGCGGGGCCGTGCGGGACCCGCAGGTGGGTGCCGAAGGCGGTGTCTGTCCGCGCTGCCTCGCTAGATGGTGCCAGGAGAACGGGCTGCGAGCGGCGGGCGCGGGCGGGCGGGGCCAGCAGGCGGCGGGCGGGCCAGGGTGATGGGGTGGTGGGTACCCGAGTGATGGGGTACCGGGGTGCCAGGGCAGGGCCCAGGGCTCTCCCCGTGCTCCCAATTCAATCCCGCTTGTTGCTTTGCCCACGCTTGGTGATGGACGCACAGGCAGCGATTCAGCTGTGTCTGAGGCTCCAGACCCAGATGAGGTGTGTGAGGGGGGCAGCGCCGTGTCCCCGCCACACCCCCAAATCCCACCCTCCCATGAAGAAACCCGTTCTGCTTCTTTTCAGAAGGAACCTGTTCCGAAGGAAACCATTCTGTTTCCTTTCAAGCCAGTAGCTGAATGGTGATCATTATGCTCCGGAGTCAACACCACGTCCCAGCTCCCAGCGGACGGTGCTGCAGGTCCTGACCTAGGCCATGCCGGGGGCAGGGCGCTGTGCCCCCTACCCGTCTGGCTCGGGTGCATCCTGTGCCCCCAGGGGCACAGCACGGGCCTTGGAGGACTACAAGGGGGCTGGCGCTGCGGAGGGCTGATGGGGTGGAGAGCGGGAAGAAGGGCACAGCAGTGACACAGCGCCCAGTGGCGAGGCAGAGGAAGGGATGACCGACCGCAGCGGCCGGACGGGAGGTTTCGGAGCCTGGGGGAAAAACATCCCAAAGCATCTGGAGGCGCGGTTGGAGCTCCCGGGCTGAGCGCGTCCCCTCTGCTGGTGCTGCGGCTCCCGGCGTGCTCCGCTCCCGCGTCGCCCTCCTCCTTCCCTCCCCGCCTGCTCCTTCCCAGCATCCCTGCCAGCATCTTAGGGCAGGTTTCAGCGCCTGCCACCGAAGCGTGACAGGCTGCAGGGAGCTGTGGTACCCTGACCCGTGGCTCCCATTGCCGGGGGAGCAGGGGGGAGAACAAGTGATAGCAAAGGGACAAGCGACTTTGTCACTGGATTTGGAGGGGATTGGGCTTGCTAAAAACATTTTGGCCTTTTCAGGTCATTTCCCTGTTCCGTGCCCTGTCCAAGCACAGCTCTTGCGGTACGAGCCAGGACATTTCCTTTCCAAGCAGAAATCCCGGGGGGCATTTGTGTTCCCCTGCAGAGCCATGGGCTTATCGCATGGTTTGGGATCACCCTGGGTGATAAACGTGTTTGATCTGGCTCCTTTCATCTCACCAATCTGAATTAGTTATTAATATTCTTTGAAGACCATGAGCAGTAACTGGTGCTATGGGTGTTACTATCAGTCAGTGTGTGACCCACGTGCTGCTGATGTGCTGCTCTGCAGTCTGGCAGTCCCACAGATCCCCACGGATCCCTGCCAGCCCCTATGGAGCCCTGCAGAGCCCCACCACAGCCCAGCTGGTCTGTCACTGAGATCTCACCTGGGGCACGGCACAGTCCCATGCTCCAGCACCGATGCAGTGGCACTGGGAGCCAAGCTGTGTGCGGAGTGTGCAATGCTGCTGCCGCAGCCCCCATGGTCCTCGTGCAGGCTCCCGGGCACCGGTGCCTCACACACGCTTGACCTAGAAACAGCCCCAAGCTATAAATAGGGCGTGCAGAAGGAGGGCTCAGAGGCACAGCTCAGAACGCAACAAGCAGGAGGCTGCGGGAGCCGGGAGCCGCAGCGTGGCAAGGGCAGGCAGGGGACACATGGGGTCGGTGCCTTGTGTGTGTGCCTCGGGAAGGGGCGAGGCTGGGCTCACTCCATCCCCTGCAGCCGATGGAGCAGGGCCTGCGAGGAAACACTGGTGCATTTCACCAGCCCGTGTCCTGCTTACACAGCAGAGGAGGATGCGTCCTGCTCTGCCCCATCTCCCGTGCTGTGCCTGTTCCCAGCACCTCTGCATCTTCAGTACCTGCCCTGGCTTGTGGGGCCACTGGGCTCCAGTGGTGCAGGAGACAGCATTTCCCCCCTCATGCCACACAGTTCTCCCATCCCAGTGGGGATCATGCATACTCGGAGCATCCAAACCATCCAAAGCATGGGTACTGGGAGCTGTGGCAGGGACCAAGTTAGTGGAGGGGGATTGAGGGGACCAGCACATGCTCCTGAGACACAGCTGCCTCTTGTGCTGCCATTACCCTAGGCTGGTAATGCTCTGGGTGGCTGCTGGATGGGAGAAGGGTGACAATGTCACCACAGTGCCTGGCACCGAATCAACAGGATGTCAGAATGTGATCCCACCTCTTCCTTTAGATTAATTTATGACACCAACTGGTCGGGTGGCAGCAGGATGGCCCTGGTCCCAGCAGTGCATGGGAACAACCTGCTGCCACCCCTTGAAACATGGGGCAGCCCCATGGCTGTGAGTCAGCTCAAAAGCATCATCAACAGGAGCAAAGGGACCTAGTGTCCAGATAAAAGCCGAGGGACCCCAAAGCCAGCCATGGCCTGTGTTAGAGCATCCCTGCTCAGTCCCAGTGAGCAAAGAAAGAGATCTTGAAGGATTACAACAGCCCAGGGATGCTCTGAGGAGGGGCACAGGGTCTTCCCCTCGGAAGAGCTGCCCCTGGGCTGGAGGTGTGCAGAGCCCTCTGGCACTGCTGGCTGAAAGCACTGCTGGAGCATTCTGAGGCTGAGGAAGCCTCACACAGTGCCTCTGCCTCGGCCACTTTCCCTGGGCTCCGGGCGAGCGGTCACATCCTGGGGAGTGTAGCGGAAGGAGCTGCGTGTCCCGCACATGTTCTGGTGTGACGGTGGCCATCACCTGCACTGAAGGCAAAGGGATCTGAAGTCTTGGGAGGCTCCGGGAGAGTGGGGAAACAGGGAACATGCCGGCAGCAAGATGTGGCCCGGCACAAGGATGTTTCAGATGCATGCTGTGGATGGTGGTGACCCCCTGATGCTCCAGGCGTGGACTGTCGGAGCCCTTAGAGTGGGGTGGGGAGGGGGTTGAGGAACCAGACCCCTGCCTGGGGAGCTGAGAGGGACCGAGCTCCTCCCGGAGCCCCGGAGGCCGGCTGCGCTGTGTCCCCGGCTCCACCCGCCGGACACCGGCTGCCTCCCGCACCGACCACCTTGAGGGCTGCCGGTGCTGGGGGGGGTCGGACCGGGCTCTCCCCGCACCAGCGCCGGGGGAGCGGCGGCGGCTCCCCCCGCTTCCTCCGCGGGGCGGTGCCGGTGCCGGGCGGAGCGCGGGGCGGGGCGGGGCGGTGCTGCCCTGCCGGGGGCTGCGGAGGGGGGGCTCCGCCGCGCCGCTCCGCTCCGCTCCTCCGGTGCCGGCGGCGGGGCCGCGGCATGAGCCCGGCGGGGCGGGCGGCAGCGGCGCGGCTCGGCCCCGCGCGGGGGGGCGGGCGGCAGCGGCTCCTCTCCCGCCGAGGACGGGGCGCGGGGGCTCGCCCCACCGGTAAGGAGGCGGCAGCGTCGGGGAAGGGGCGCGGGGGGTGCCGGTACCGGCCCAAGCCTTTGTGGCGGGGCCGCCCTTTGTCTGCCCGCACGGCGCGGAGG